CTCTATCTGTACAATATATTTATGTACAATATCTATCTGTACAATCTCTATCTGTACAATATATATATGTACAATATCTACCTGTACAATCTCTATCTGAACAATCTCTATCTGTACAATATATATCTGTACAATATCTAGCTGTACAATCTCTATCTGTACAATATATTTATTTACAATATCTATCTGTACAATATATTTATGTACAATATATATCGGTACAATCTCTTTCTGTACAATATATATTTGTACGATCTCTATCTGTACAATCTCTATCTGAACAATCTCTATCTGTACAATATATATATGTACAATATCTATCTGTACAATATATATATGTACAATATCTATCTGAACAATATCTATCTGTACAATATATATATGTACGATCTCTAGCTGTACAATATATTTATGTACAATATCTATCTGTACAATCTCTATCTGAACAATCTCTTTCTGTACAATATATATATGTACGATCTCTATCTGAACAATATCTATCTGTACAATATATATCTGTACAATCTCTATCTGAACAATCTCTAGCTGTACAATATATATATGTACAATCTCTATCTGAACAATCTTTATCTGTACAATATATATATGAACAATCTCTATCTGAACAATCTTTATCTGTACAATATCTATCTGTACAATATCTATCTGTACAATATCTATCTGTACAATCTCTAGCTGTACAATCTGTCTGTACATTCTCTATCTGTACAATATCTATCCATTCAATATATATCTGTATACTATTTCTCTGTAAATATCTATCCATACAATATATATCTGTACAATCTCTATCTGAACAATCTTTATCTGTACAATATCTATCTGAACAATCTCTATCTGTACAATCTGTCTGTACATTCTCTATCTCTACAATAAATATCTGTACAATATCTATCCATTCAATATATATCTGTATACTATTTCTCTGTACCATATCTTTCCATACAATATAGCTACATGTATATACTATTTCTCTGTAAATATCTATCCATACAATATATATATGTATACTTTTTCTCTGTATAATATGTATCTGTATACTATCTCTCTGTACAATATTATACAATTATGGACTTTTGTGCTGGTGAATATGATGTGATATGAACCTGAAAGAGTGATATTGACTGAGGCGAAGCCGAGGTCTATATTAATCTTTCAGGTTCATATCACATCATATTTACCAGCACAAAAGCCCATAACTGTTTTATTATATGCTACAACATGAGAAATGTTCATGCATATAATAATTATTTTTATCACATAATGTACTGTGTTATCTAGTGAATAAACCCATGTCATATTTTTTTGCGTATTAACCCATGTAATATGTTTCAATTGTGACGTCACGCCTAGGACAAGTACATGACGTCATAGACTTCAGCACTGGAGTCAAATTGGCGGCTTTTTACATTTCAATGTTGCATGAAGATTGTCGTTTTACACGAATAAGTGCCACAAATCTTGATTTATATGCGATAAAAAAGATCTTACACTCGTTTCAATTTCAAATAAAATTTATGAAACTCGACACGAATTTTTTCATTTTTGCTCGCCAGAGGCTCGATAAATTGAAAAATTCTTAGACTCGTTTAATAAATCTCATATGAAATGGAAACTCATGTAAGATCCTATATGTACAATATCTATCTGTTACATGTACATGTAAGTGTACACTATTGATCTGTATAATATTATCTGTACAATATATATCTTTATACTATCTGTCTGTACAATACCTATCTGTACAATACCTATCTGTACACTATTTATATCTGTACACTATTTATCTGTACAATATCTATCTGTACACTATTGATCTGTATAATATTATCTGTACAATATATTTCTTTATACTATCTGTCTGTACAATACCTATCTGTACAATACCTATCTGTACAATCTCTGTCTGTACAATACCTATCTGTACAATACCTATCTGTACAATCTCTGTCTGTACAATATCTATCTGTGCAATACCTATCTGTACAATCTCTGTCTGTACAATACCTATCTGTACAATACCTATCTGTACAATATCTATCTGTACAATATCTATCTGTACACTATTTATATCTGTACACTATTTATCGGTCTACTATCTCACTGTACAATACATTGTATCTATCTGTACAATATTTAATTGTACAATATCTCAGTGTACAATATTTTTCAACAATCTGGTGTTCTCATCACAGCTAGTGGAGCACTATGACGCATTTTACGGGGTCATCGAAGGGTAAGGCATGTTGTGAGGTGTGTGTTACAAGTTAACACATACATGAATACAGTAACTGACAAGAAACATAAAGATTGCATTGCTACATGTAAGGGTGAAATTGACGAGTTTACTAATTTCTAATATAAACAGCATAAATAAACCACATGCGATACTAGGCTAGAACAGATCGCCTCACATATATGGATATGTATATGCAACAAATGATAAGGAAATTTCAGCATGTGCTCTCGTCGCTCTAAATCACAAACCGAGAACATATTTGTGCGAATTCCATGTGGCTTGCCAGATTTCCACACGGCTATCCTCTTCCTTCCTCAAGACATGTCAAGCTCACTGTTACGTTACGTTGGGGCTTGCTACTCTGTTATACTGTAAGTATACCGACAAACAGGAGGCGGTGCCTTGGGATAACGTGTATGTTCGGACCGACGAAACTAATATGTAACTTTTAAATATCTATCTATCAAATACAGAACATTCATGACGTTTAATTACATATAGAGGGAAATCAGTTACTGTACTGCAGTTTTCGTACCTGATACGGACAAAGCTTCCCGAAAGTACGATGCGTTAATAGCTTACAGACATTTGCCCCGCCCC